GTCCCAATGGATCGTAGATGCCCGCTAAAGTGCTTAATACTGTACGTCGTGTTGGATTGGGACTGATTTGACTACTCGGCCATTGAAATCCGAGCTCGTCATTTTGTATATCCCACTGCATTCCTAGTACCTTAACCTCTGATTTGTCTAGTCGGTCTTCGTCAGGAATAGCAGAAATTGTCTCTGGTGAATTCGAGGTAAATTCTCGCAAGTTCATCTTCGCCTCCGAGAATATCATTTTGGCTTGATTGCATTTCCTGATTAATTCTTCTGGAGAACTTGCTCCTAAATGAAGGTTGTCCACATAAAGGCTACTAGATAATTCAGTAGCAGTAGTCGTGCCGTATTTCTCTAGATGGTGACGTATTACTCCCGCCAGAAGGTAAGGGGAGCAAATAACGCCAAAGGCAACTCTCGCAAAACGATAAACTTGTATATTGTCGTTAGATGGTGGCTTATCCGGATCCTTCAGCCAAAGGAATTTGGCTACTTCCCGGTCTTCTTCGTGTAGGCCTACCATAAGGAAAGCTGCCTCCAAGTCAGCAATCGCCACAAATTTTGGTAGGCGAAATCTGAGGAGCAATCCTACTAATTCTGGTAGGAGCACAGGACCACGGAGGAGGCAATCGTTTAATGAAGGTTGCCCCCTTGGATGTGCACTTGCGTCGAATACTGGTCTCACCTTATGAGTAATAACTGCATGGTGAGCCAGATAATGTTCTTGTCCTACTGGATTCTTTCGTGCTGGCTCGATTATCCCTCTTTGAAGATAATCGACAATGATTTGATGATATTTGTCTAAAAGGTCCTTTGATCGTGCAAGCGAGCTGTAAGTTGAACAAAGTCGACTATAAACCATTCTGTAGTTGCTTGGTGGTGTTATCTTTGGCTCTCGCCAAATCCAGCTTACCGTGTAACGCCCTTCGTTATCTTGGGCAATCGAGGACTCTAGCTGTTTAACAGCGATTTGGTCATCGTCAGCTCCGGGATCCTCTGTAATCCCTATCCCCTCCAAATTCCAGAATTCTTCTATAATATTGGAAGGAGGCATTTGGTCAATATTAGACTTGCCGATCGCTATCATAGAGTGTGAAGGTCGTCCTCCATATGGACTCATATCAGACTCCCCTCCAACTACTGGACCAAAGGCAGTCTGAATGACATAAATTCCTGGAGCGACTTCAGTTCTCTCCTTGAAAAACTTCCAAAAGTGTCGTGTTCCCAGCATAATTCCTGGGACTTCTGATGATATCTTGAGTGCTTGCTGGACTTCTGGGTGATCTAAATCTTGAGTGGGCATTTCTGTCGTCCATTGAACCATCTCGAAAGGGGTACTTATCTCCTTGGTCCAATTGAGTTCGAGCTCTTCCCAACCACCGTCCTCTCTTCTGATTGAGACGGCATATGTTGGTGAGCGGATTCTGATTGGATCTCTCATTGTTCCGCCAAATCCGTGTACTTCGACGTCGTCGATTGATATTTGAGGTGGACGAATTTTGTCCACTAGATCCTTGGTGATGTAACTTAGCTGACTGCCCGGGTCAAAGAACACATAAGCAAGTGTTCTGCTTTTCTTGTCTTCTGGCGATTCTACTGCCAATTTTCGTGTCATTAGGTACGCTGATAACTTTTTGCGCAAGTGAGGAAATGCCATGGCTGCAACTGTCTTAGTTGGATCACTCTCCGAGCCGGGAGGATCCTCTTGTGTTAAATTAGCTCCAGTCAACGGAGTCTCAATCGTGGTTGTCATTTGGGTAAACTGCCTATTCGGCGCAGTCCCCTTCTTGCTCGTCTTGTTAAGTCGTGTATGGTTCCTCGTTGTTGATGTGGTGCAGACGAGAAAACTATGTTTGCCCTGACAGATTCGGCATAACATAGGAAGGTGGCATTCCTTAAATGAGTGGCCCTCGCGCAGACACCTTATACAACGGTGCTGCTCCTTTAACCGGTTGAAACGCGATTGTGGCGTCGGGTATTTTGGACATTTACTTGGGAAGTGTGCTCCTTGATGACATAGGGAGCATTCTCTCTGTCCAAACTTCACAAATGGTCTATTCTTGTGTACGTGAGCAGGAGCAATGAATGTACGAGATTGCTCTTGCGCTCCTTGTCGTGCTTGGTAATTTCCTCTTCTAGAGGAAATGTGGTTCTCAGTCGTCTCAGTTCGTGTTTTGGGCGCTTGTGAGGTTGTACATCGCTGAACCTCTTCTTTGATTTCGACAATGTTGATAAGCTCTTTTCTGAGCTGAGCGCAATTCCAACGAGATTCTGCCCCTCGCTCTTTCTCTACTAGTTTAGAGACAATAGAGCGGGGCAACTTGGACTTGATGGCTGTCGATATAAATGGAGATTGATCGACAATATTGAAAGCTTCCAACTGACGGCAAATTCGTTCAATCGAATCTACGAAAGATCGAATTGAATGGCAGGACTCATTTGGCGGGCTCAGATTCATGAGCTCCGACTCTAGTGCTTCAGTGATGGCTCGATTATCGCCATATCGTGATTTGAGCAAATCCAATGCTCTCGTGTAATTCTCGTTGGATAAAATGAATCCCGCAACTAAATCTTTAGCGGGACCTTGGAGGAGGGTGAGTAAATAACTCATTTTCCTAACATTGTCCATTTGGCGTTGGTCGATGTTGATTGAAAATAATTGCCAGAAAGCTGGCCATTTCTTCGGATCTCCATTGAATGGCTCCATTTTGAGCTCTGGTAAACGTGTGTCTGGTAATAAAGGAGTGTCCTTGACCTTGTTTTCTCCAATGCTTTGTTCTTCTTGAGTTCGACTTTGAATGCGTTGTGACTCTCGTGTTCGTTCACTACGCTCACTAGCCTCTGTAATTCTTTCCTCCATTTCCAAAAGGAGGAAGTCTAACTCGCCTATAATTCCTCGGGCCTGTTCTGCGAAGTCCATGAAATGGACCCACACTTGTCCTTCCTGTACATTAGGAGGAAACGTATTGTACAGCTGCTCCTCAGCTTCCAAATCTCCTCCATCCAGGAGATCAATAAATCCTGTCCACTCGTGATCGAGAGTTTCTATTCGCTCAAGTGTGCGAATCAACTGATGTCTTTCAGCCCGGAGGCGTGCCGGGTTTTGTGCTTCTTGTTCATTACCCAAAAGGGTGGTTGCCGCGATAATATGATCCTTGAGGGCTCTCAGAGCTAGCCCAATTTTCCTTCGAATATGTCCTGAAGATGGCATTGTGATAAGCGATTATAATAATCTGCTTAAAAGCGTTGGACTAGCTAATTTAGTCCAAAAACGCAAAAGCTTAAGGAACTTGTGCCTTTAAGCTAAAAAAATAAACTCGCTGAAGACTGACTATCAAAGTCAGAAAATTGATGAAAATATGAGAAGAGAGCACTTTTGGTATATTTTGTGCTAAATTGATGTTTACCGCGACTGGTAAGTGGCAGCACAAAGTTCTCTTCTCAAAAGAGAAAAATAAACGCAGATGTGTGAAAAATGTAAATAAACACTAAAAATGTAAAGTCAGTCGCTCTGACTTAACCGTGTAATTGGCCGACGGGTTGGCCAAAACAAAAGAAATGACTTGCTCACAGAGCGAAAAGTCAGTGTTCTTTAAACTCGTGTTGCCGCGCTCTAAAATGCGCCAATCGTGTGAATGGCCAAAGTTATGGCCAAACAAAAGAAAAGGCTTTCGTGTCCCTTTTCTTCTCAAAAAATGTGCAAAAATGCACCAACTTGTAAACTTGTTGATTGGCCGATGATTTGGCCAAATAAATTCCTTTCTTGTTTTTCGTGTAAAATTGTGCAAAAATGTGCACAACTGATGAAATGTGTTAAGACCTAAGTTTTGGTAAACAAAGGAATGACTTCTTTCAAGAAAAATGTGCAAAATAAGCACAAAAAAATTGCTAGCAAAGAGCAAAGATTGAAATTGTAGAAAAGGGGATGAGCGGGTTTGTTCGCGGAAAAAACTGCGTCCTTCAAGGAGCGTGAATGTATGTCGGTCCGCTTGAGGGATCACGACTTTGCGCACTTTGTTGTGCGGGCTTGTGGGGTAAGGCTGTGAATCGGATAGTTTCCGACTTAAGGATTACTCTCCAGGAGTAATAGATGATGAACTCGTGAACTGCTGACTTGTGAGAAGATAAATGTTGACTTACTCTCCAAGAGTAAGTATTCGTGTGCTGCTGGCTGATGAGCAGATAACGGTTGGCTCTGGTGGCCAAAACCGCGTGTTCAGGATGAGAACACAAAATTTAGCCTAAAAAGGCAGACGTGTTGATTGGCACAATTGCCTGAAGAAACGGGGGCAGTGCGATTGGACTGCGGACCCGTACGGGGCTCCAATTTTTATATGTGCCCAAAAGCCCTTTCGGGTGGACACACAATTTGTACGGCCTCCGGCTATGGGAGGGACGGACGCTTATAAAGGGAGGACAGAGAACTCAAAAGTTCTCTTAAACTTATAAGCGATGATGACGACGACAGCCTACCCAAAATCCCCAAAAATACACACACCAAAGAAGAAAAGATTTATTTAATTAACAAATAAATTTAGCGGTCCGATAACAGCTCGGGATCCGCGGTGTGAATAAATTGGTGATTAAAATATGTGGTGAAAATGCGAACAAATAATTTAAGTTAGTGCTCCGCTCTCCTGCTCCCAGTTGAAGGGAGAAAAGTTGGTTTAATTGATTGGGTTTAAAGGAATTAGAAAATTATAAGATTTTGAGAGAAGTTGGAAATTGAAAGAAGGATTGAAAGAAGTGATTTTAGGGACAGCCGAGCGCTAACTTGACAGCCAAAGGTAGGCGTGGTTAAAAACAAAATAAATTGCGGGCGGTAAAATTAAATAGGTGAGAGAAATGGAAAAAATAGTGGAGGGCTTATGCCCTTTTGGGCACAATTTTTTTTATTTTTATTACGAATTTTTGTTAGTGTATTTTCTAAAAGTTCTCAAAATTTGAGAATTTTTGGGTAGGTATTCAGGGAGTTCTGATCGAAAATATAATTTATACTAAAATTTGTTAGCAATTAATTTTATTATTTTAGAACATTTTAACGACTGGAAAACAGCACGCAATTCAATTTTATCAAACATCTCACAACATAAACAAATCTATACATCCGGTGATAAACCAAAATTTTATCGTGCCAAGACCTCCTATTTAACGTTAAAAAAAGCAAATGAAGGATTGTCACCAATTGAGTTGATTAAATCTAAATTTAATGGAACTATTCGATTAGTTGATAAAAATAAAGAAGGTATAGTGGATGTTTTTAAGATGGCATTCTTCACTTATGTATCACTTTCCTTCATTTCGACTAAATTTGGTTTAGGGCCGTTAATTTAAAATAAGATTAATAAAATTTGGTTGGCCAGGGAAGGTGAAGATGTTCCTAAGCGATACCACAAATACACATTATTATAAAATAAAAATTTTTGAGGCCCAAGGCTCAAACTGTTTTATAACTTAAATATAAATTATATTTATAGATAAATTAAATACTACAAGCAAAAATGATGATAAAAATTGAGGGAAAACTAATTAGATGAGAGAAGTTATAGTTAAAGAATTTTAGAGTGTTTCAAAAAAAATTTTGACCTAAACCCCCAGCTTAAAAAATTAAACATTGACAGAACATATAGTCTAGTAATTGTTATTTAAAAATATATTTTTAATGTGTTATTCCTAACATTAGAATAAAAATTTTTATAAAATAAAATAAAAATTTATTCGATTAATTATCCTCTCTCAACAATTGCCCTCTCTAAAATTATTACCCACATGTAACCGAAAGTCAAAAATAATTGCCCAGATAATTTATCGAAAAGGAACAGTAATTTAAAAAATATAAAATAAAGAATTTTAAAACGTATATGATTCTAAATTAAAAAAAATTTCTATAAAATATGGTTATCAAAGAAATCCCAATATCCACTGTTGAATTGAGGAGTCTCTGTAAATATTAAATTTAAAAACTAATATTTATGGAAATTAAAGAACAACCTTCATATGTGTTTTTTTCATTTAAATTCCTTTCAGAATCATGCTCTTAAAATATTTTTTAATTTAAATTTTAAATTAAATATAATCATTAATTATTTGTCTAAACTATTAATATTTTGGAAACTCAAATTAAAATTCCTCAATAATCAAATCTCATTTTCTATCCCTCCAAAATCAAATAAATTCAATTCTAATTTGTAAACTTAGTTGTACTGGGTGGGAGAGCTGCCTAAATTTGAATTGAGCAAATGCCTGAAATTTGCCTAAAATTTCAAGATACACCCGTTTAGATACTCCTAACTCCCACCTTCCTTCAACCCCCTCCCCCCACTCCCCCCCCTCCTCCGTTTATTAAATAAAATTTGAATGTAATTTTCATAACTTACAACCTGGATTGCGATAATTTGTGAAATTGTTGTTAGGCGAAGGTGGAGGTGTTTCTTCTTCCAACGGTGGAATACCTTCCTCTTAATTAATTGTATATAAAATTTTTTAGCTAACTTATTCAATTGTTTCAGATAATAATTTTTCAAATTAAATTATTTTTATTAAATAAAAATAAACTTTTTGCTTGAAGATATTCTTCTTTATTTAAATAATTATATTCAGGAGGTACTTCAATTTCTTCAGCAGAATTTCCCCTTTTATTTTTATCACCTCTTGCCTTTCTGGATTTACTTCGACTTGTTTTTCCATTTCGTTTGCTAGTCTCTCCTTTATTTGGTGGCGTATTGGGAGGTTCAGCTTTTTTAGATTCATCATTATTTTGATTTGTTTCTTTATTTGTTGTTGTTTCTTTATTTGAATCTTATAAGTTGAGAATATTTTGGCGTATAAAGATAAACTATGGTCCCACATTAAAATTCTTATTTTTCAAAAGCGGTATTGAAGTTCAAAAATATATGATAATACAACCGACCCGATCGGAAATCTAATAGAGCTTAGTATCTGTGTTTGGACAAAACATGCAAATGCATATTTTGTATGCGGCTATGCCATGAAATAAGAAGCCCAAAAATGATGTTTTTACATTAGTCTGAGCATTTTAGGACCCGGTTCTTAATGCATATCTTTTACATATTTCGGCCTTTTCGTGAATATTTGCATATCGCTGCATATTTTGAAAAATATTGCATTTGGTGCATTTTTGGGCTTTTTCTGTCTGCATACGTTGCGCATATTAGACGATTATGCTCAACCCAATTAATAACATTGAAATATATTGTTCATTTAAATTATTGTGGAAGATATTATTTTTCCATTACCTACCCAATTTTTCTTTATTAGCAATATTTTGATTGAGTGTTTCATCTACTTTGTTTTCTCCTCCATTTGTACTAGTGCTAGCATTTGTTTTTTCAGTTGCTCCATTACCTTCATTTGTGGCTATTAAATAAAAAATACTAAAATTCTTTTTACAAAAAATTTACAATTTTGTGCCGTTTCTTGATTTATTGTCTCAGTATTTAAATTTTCAGGTATTCGGCTTCTAGTTCTCCTTCTTCTTCGGCTTATACTTCTTCCATCTCTTATTAAATTTAATTCTTCGGCCTCATTTTCTATAACATTCTCAATATCTTCCTCTTCACTTATTTCTTTCTCTTCGGCTTTATTTTTTTGAGATTTTCGAATAAATTTATTTTTTAATTTATTTACTATATTTGAATGTTTAACCTCAAAAATATATGTATATTCGGGACTTTCCCCATTCTACATAAATAATTTTAATTTGTTTTTAATTTTTTATAAAACCTGTAAAATAGGCATAACCAACAAAGCCTCAAAAACTTTTTTTTCAAAAAGTACTACCTCTTTATTAAAAATTACAGCTTCTCTAAATTGATAAAAAAATATTATTTTTGTTAATTTAAAAATATATTTTTCAAATAACGTAAAGATGGTTCATTTGTACTATCTTTATTTTAATATTTACTATACAGTAAATCCTCTAAACTAGCCCCGGGGGCTATTTTTTCGATCGACCTCTAGAGGGGGCTATTTTAGAGGAAATACGGTAAATTATCTTTTGGATAAATTATTAATTTTTGGTTTATTTTTTGTCAAAAAATGATTGAATTTGAATTTTAAAAATAATTTTAGACATAAAACATTATCTATTTTATAGTAGTGTCTAATAAATTTTTATCAAAATTATAAATCAATTTAAAATATTCATTTTCTTATTCTAGAACCTTTAAACAGACATTTTAAAAATTGTGCCTTCCCCATTGTCTTCATTTTTAATTAAATAAATACTCTTTTACCTTCCACTTCCATGTTTCTTTAATTGAACAAAAGTTTTGCAATCCCTAACAGGACATCTATCTCCATTATTTATTATAATTGGAGATGAAGTATGTGACGGTCCTTCTTCCTCAAGTTCTTTATCAGAACAATTATTTATTTCTTCTTTTTCTTCTTCAACGTCCCCATTATTTACTTCCTGTTGATAATTTCCATCTAAAAAAGAAAGAGGAGGAGGTTCAAGTCTTCTAAAAAATTCAGAAAATTCATCGCCACTTCGCTTTTTCCGATTATTTTTTAATTTTTTAATTCTAAATAATTAAATAATTAATTTTAATAATATTTATTTTCTTATAATAACCCAAATAAATATAATCTTTTTAAATTTTTATTATTTATTTTAAAAAATAACCAACCTTTCATTTGCGCATTTTTTGTGAATAAAATGCTTAAATTAAAAATAAATAAATAATTTATTTAAATATTTTAAAATATCATTTTAACAAAAAATTATTTTACTTTACAACTCGGCATCATATGCAACTTTTGTGCTTTAGTATTCAATCTAGTTAATTTTCTTGAATGGCAAACTTCACAACAAATATTTGGTACCTTAATTATTTTTTAGATTATTTATTAATTTTAATGTTCTATTTTTAATAATAAAAATTCTTTAGACAAAATTTTTTTATTTTAATTTCACTAGGAATTGTAAAAAACTATTTAAAATGCCTTAAATTCAGTGCTGGGTATTTGGCATTTGTTGGCTCCTGACTTTTAAAATCTTAGCTATATTTTAATTTCACTAGGAAGGGGGCTAGCCTGGCTGAGTAGCTAGCTCACGGAGCCATACCCAGCACTGCTTAACTTTAACAATTCTTTTTACTAAAGATTAAATCAAAACTTTTTCTCATTTATTTCAAATATAAACTAACTGCTTTAACAACCACAACCATTGGATATTTTTTCGAAGAATTTATATAACTTGGAATAGCTTTATTTAATTTAACATCAAATTCAGTTTTTCCTTGCCATTCATCTTCACTCAATTCTCTACTTGCAAATTCTATTTTTTTATTTTTTTCTTTAAAAATTTTAATTAAATAATGCATTTTAGGTTCATTATCTATTTTTATTAAATATTTATTGTCAAATGAATTTTTAAATTTCATTCGTAAATAAAGTCCTTTTTCCTCATCTTTTTGGCGGAAATGGCCAAATTGAAAAAGGAATAAACGTTGAAAGTTCGGATTTTTTAATGTCCATTTATTGCTCTAAATTATTTAAATTTTAAATAAAATACAGATGTATATTTTTGTTTAAAAATTAATAAGATTATTTTTTGTGTTTTATAAAATTATGGGCAGGATTGTTAAATGAATAGAGCTTTAATTAATTCTTTTTTGATTAATTATTCTACAAATTAATTAAAACTATTGTTGTGTAGTGCTGTTATCGAGATAATATAAAAATCATTGTCAGTCTACTTGGAAAATTATTGTCAGTCTACTCTGATAGCAGTCCTGATAGTAGTCAGGCTACTATCAGAGTCTTATAGTCTGATAAATAATTAATCCCTGACAGCCCTACTAGTCCCTGATGGCCTCCGTCAGACATTCGTTTACATTGTACTTTTCTGTTTGAATTAATGATATTCTTGTGCTCTCTTATTTTATCTCTCGGACAGCCTCGGACACAATAATAAATTTTCTATTATTTTGTTTTATCAAGAAAAATTCAAAATAACATTAACAAACTAATTTTAACAATTTTAAAATTAATTTCACATACACGTTTTTGCCCATGGATGGGATATAAGGAAGTTATTTCCACACACAATTTTGTAATTGTAACTTTTGCTGGGGATGGTACCAAATTAAATTCAAATTGAACTTCTTTTTCATTGTCCAAATTAAATTTAGTTATTTGTTGTATTTTGCCATCTTTTATACATTCATCACAAAATATTTTTATTTGCCATCTTTAAGGGAAAATAAAATTTTTAAATTATAATATTTACTCGATTAATTCCCCTCCCTTGAATAATTCCCCTCACTCGAATAATTCCCCCCCCCCCCCTTATGGATGAGTTGAAACAATAATCCCCTCCCCCAAATACCCTACTACACGTTCAAATTTCAAAACTCGAATAATTCCCCTCCCTTGAATAAATGCTACGGATGCTACGGATGGGTTCAAATAATAATTCCCCATGGAATACGGTACTTTATATTTTTTTCTATAATATCTTCTGTTGTAGAAGGGGTTATTGCTCCATAAAAAACAGTATCAATACAAAATGTTGTTGTGAATAAATTAAAAATGAGGATTAGTTTAATCATTAATTGTTGAATTTTGAAAAAAAAAATAATTTAAAAAATTCACAAATAATTAATTTTAATTTTAATTTAATTAATTTTAAATAAATTTAAATGGGGAAAATAAATATTTTTATTTAAAATGCCCTTCTCTCTATTTGATTATAGTTGCCAAAAAAAGAAATAATGTCAATAAATCTTTGTCGGCATTAATTACACAATGTTGCACTTTTTATAAAGGGCAACATTAAAAATTAAAAAATTAAAAATATTTATATAAAAAATATTTTTTAAAAATAATTACCGGATGTTGTTAGCGTGTTTTGGCATATTTTATAAAATATTAAAAATTAAAACTTTTTTTAAATTTGCTTTATTTTTTAAACTAAATTTAAATTAAAAATAATTATATAATATTCTCTAGAGATCGAGATTTTTGAAAAGCCTGGACCTGTTCCTGGACTCTGGAGTTTGATTCTTGGCCTGGACTGGATCCTGGGCCTGTAGTCCAGGAAAAACCCAGGTCCAGTAAAACCCCAGGAAGGTCAAAAAATGCCTGGAACTGGACTCTGAGTACAGGAAAAACCCAGGCTTTTGTCCAGGTCCAGCTCAATCTCTAATATTCTTAATTTTTTTATTCTTTATTTTCTATTAATTCTTCCAATTCCTCATAGCATGGCGGGGGTGTTACTTCAGCAGAAAAATTGTTGTTTGATGTACTTGCATTTAACTAAGAAAAACTTTTAAATAAAAAATAATAATTAATAAAAACCAAGGCTAGTCTTCCGTCACTTGTAAATGAATTTGAAGTTTTTATTTGTGGAAGTAAAGTATTCATACTAAAAAATTGAAAAAAATCCTTTAAAATCCAACTATCCAAATATCATTAATTTTAGTATTTTTATTTAAATTACACCTGCTAGAAGAAACAATTGAAACACTACTTCGGCCTTTTCTCGATGAATTTTTTAGACTTTCTGGATTAGATAAATTGTCACATTTAAAGGAAGAACCGAGCAGAACAACAAGAGGGGGCTGTGTACGTCTTTGACGTTGATTTAGGGATTGACAATTTAATGATCGTCTACCATTATAAACTGAAAAATATTTAAATAATTTTTTTGTGAAAACATATTGAGAATAATGGATATGGATTAATTAATTTGTTTAAAGATTAATTTGTTTAAATTTTTTTAATCCAATCATGCGTTAATGAAAATTTTCGCGTCCAAACAAATTATTATGCGTCCATTCATATTTTTATGTGTTCAACAAGATTTTGTCTCATAGAACCTATGGTTCGGTACTCATTTGTCAGGGCGAGAGTCGAACGTAACTCTGGGAAATCGCATAGATTAGACGCATAGAATTTTGATTTTGCGATTCATTGGACGCGTAAAGTCTGGACAAGAGCCAAAAAACACCTTTAGAATTATTTGAAATGTTTGAATTTGTGCTGGTTGAACGTGGGATACAAAGCATAAGCGAATAATCAACAGCAGCCAAACTTCTGGCAAAATCTCTTGTACTAAATCTTAGACGTGGAGGAATCGTTGATGTTGATGATTGAATACTTTTAAAAATAATTTTTAATCAATTAAAAATCATTTTTATTTAATCACCTATTAACCTTTGCCAATTTCATTAAAAAAAGAGTGCATATTACAGCCATTGAAATTAGCATAAAAATTCCAAAAAGAAACGTTAAATGTTCTTCAGGCGCTTCACTTGGTGCTATCTAATTTTTTTTAATTTAAAATATTTTTTCTTGATTTTTTACTTTTAAATTCATAACAGGCATTGCTGGTGCTCCTCCTCCATATTTTACAGAAGGGGTACTTGAGGTTATTGGAAATAATGTTGTAGAAATATTATTGAGGATTAATGAGGTAGCTAGAAAATTGAATTATAATTCTAATTAAAGATCGAAACGAGTCAAGAGGGCCTTCGAAAACGAGAAATGAGATCTCTCCCGTCTTCACGCAAATTTCGCTATCTTTGCCCTTCCGCTTCTGTATCCGTTTTTTTATTTTCAGTTTTCTATTTTCCGTTTTCTTTGGCCTTCCTCTTTTTTAAACGCCCCTGCCCCTGATATTTCCCTATATTTTCTAATTAAAATACCTAACCTTCAAATGTTGAATTATTATCCACTAAAGTATGATTTTGATTTTTAATTCCCAAATTATTATTTGAAATATTTCCTTGTAATTTTGGGAGACAAAAAGGAATTCTAAAATAATTTTGTATTTTTAATTTAATTTAGAAATAATTTACTTTTCCGGTATATTTAATAATTTAATTAATTGACAACAATTATCTTCGGTAATATTTAATTGGATAGAGCAAAAATGAATAGCTGGCATTTTTTCTTTTAAAAAATAAAGACTTGGAATTTTATTTAAAATATAGAATTGGAATTTTAAAAATATAAACTAGTTGACCAAAAAAGATTTTTTTAAAAGATTCTTCTCTCTCCCCTCCACCTTTTTTAGGTTATTTATCATTTAACTAAAATCCCCCCTCATTCTCCATTTTCTTCAATCCTTTTTATGGCTTAACATTTACTCTTTGCCCCTTTTTTAAATTTTTTTGGATTACTTTCAAGCATCTCTAGAAGGATGCGACATTTTTCTTTGTTTTTTTCCTGTTCCCTTGGCAATTCAACTAAAAAAGGGATGGGACGTATTTTATTTATCAAAATTTTTCTTTTTTTACATCAATCTTCTTTTTAGTCAATTTTAAACTCATTTTGGAAATTGTTAGTAAATTAAGAGGGAAAAATGGAAATTAAAAAATATTTTTAAAATTTTAATTATTTAATTAGGTATAAAGAATCTAATAAAAATACATATTTTGAGGTAATCTATCAGTTTTGCTATAAATCTGATTTGGTTTGCTTTTCTGATTTTATGATAGAAGGATAATAATTATTACAAAGATGCCGTTTTCGCACTTAATAATGAATTGGCTAATTTTATATTTTTTATAACTTCTCAAAGGTTTACAGTTCAAATTTAAGTTGAATTCACCTTTGTAACTATTAGGTACTATTTTTTCAGCGGAACGTCCCACTTGTGTACCGGCCGTTTGTGTACCTGGCCATATTTTGGGCTATAACTTTGATTCTTAACAGACTTAAATTATTATTATATCAATCGAAAGCCCTGGATGTGAGGATTATTTTCGCCAACGGGATTGATTTGATCAGATCATGTTATAAAAAGTTATATCTCGATAAATGCGCTCAATCGTGATTTTGATCTTTATCTGTCTGTAACTTTTTGTATGATAATCTGATCAAATCAATCCTGTTGGCGAAAATAATCCTCACATCCAAGGCTTTAAATTGATATATTATTTATTTAAATCAATTAAGAATTGAAAAAGTTATGGCCCAAAATATGGCCAAGTACACAAACGGCCGGTACACAATGATCCCCCGCCCATTTTTCAGAAACCCTGAAACAAAAGAATTGTTATGAAACTTTTATGTATACACGCTTGGAATAATTTAAATAATATATTAATTTGATTAATATTTAGTATTCTAAGGAAAATATTTTTGGAGATTTTTTAAATTATTCACTTACTAAAGAGTTTGGAAGGTTAATTTAAATAGAATTTTATAGCTTTGTAAGGATAGTTTTTAATTAAATAAAGGTTAAAGATACTTTGTTAATTTTTATGTTTATTATAAATATTTGTTTATTTAATTTTTAAAACAGGTAACAAATAAATAGGGGTTTTTTCTTCAAAAAAATTTTTTTTTGAAACTTTCATTTAATTAAAAAACAATAATTTCCCCTTTTACCCCAGAAATAAAAGTCTACGAAAAAAAAAATAAAGAAAACATTAAGGATTAACAAAGTTACTTTCCCAATTACACATTATTTACGTGTTACTATTATTTATTTATTTTTGTATTATTTTCTGCCAGAAACTTTTCTTTTTTTTACTTTTTTTTATTCAACGCTTCTTGTGTTGAATCATCTTTTTTATTTAATGTTTACCGATAAACAATTTTTTTTCTTGCGCCTCTTAAAATAGTTTTTTTTATTTTATTTATCATCTTTAGCCAAATAACAAAAAATAATATTTTGGCTATTTTAAGGTTTTTTTGGTAATTACAAAAATTATTACATTTTTATTTCCAACTAAGAAATATTTTTTAAAAAATTATTTTAATTTTCTCTAAAATTCAACTTTGTTAAATTAAGCATATTTTCTAATTCATTGTCCCATAAATTAAAAGTAGAGTTCAGCGGTATCGGGATTTTGGCATACTGATCCCGATCTAGATACCGGTCCCGATCCAGGGATCTGGACTGGCCGAAATCGGGATTGGGATTTGGAATAATGATCACATCCCGCGATCGGGATTGAAAATCCCGATCGGGATTTACTAAAAATTTATAAAAAAAAACTTTGGAATCATTAGATGAACGATTTTTGTAGCTTAATATAAAGTCTTTTGTATACGTTTTGAATAGATTAAATTTTATAAATTAAACAGAAATTATCTGAAAAAACAGAAAGGAATAAACTCGTAGGGGATTTCCTGTTGTATTTGTGAGGATTTTGTTTTGGGATGCAAAGGATTTTATTTTTGTTCTAAATTCCTAAAATCAGGATCGGGATCCGGATACCAGTCCCGACTTAAAACAAAAACATAAAAAATTTTTGTAAAATAAATATTACTCATTTTAGTAATAATTTTATTTTATTTTAACGCCGATCATTTCACATTTAAAACCTTTTTTCTGTTGTCTTTGTAGACGGAAATAAATGACCATAAAAATAAAAATAAATGGCCAAATACAAACATTAAAAATATATATAAATTTGTCATCACACAAACCATTCTTTCATTTATTTATTTTTACCTTTCTTGACCAAACCGATAAAAAGCTGTGATTTTATTCTCAAAGTCAAGAATAGCGGCGATTAATCCTTTATTTATTATTATATATTTTTCCTCACAAAAATAACCGTTCTTATTTTTCTAAAAAAATTTTTAGAATTTAAATATGCTTAAATGATTTTCGAGATTTCAAAACTTAAGAAGAAATTTTTTGGATATTTTGGTATAAAATTCGTAAATATTAGGGTTTCAGTTCGAGCCGTCGCTTGGTGCATTTTTTCAAGTTTGGTTTTTTAGATTCGGTTCATTTTCGAGCTTTTTGAGCTGAAAGGCCTTGGCTCGCTCGATCTTTTCGAGTTTTCCTAGTAAATATGTTTATTTTATCAAAAATCTTATTTTTTTTGTTTATTTTTATTTTAACTGTCCGATCGTGCAAAGTTTTGTCAAAAGGTGTGGTAGCTATATTTATTTATATTTTTATTTTTACGACTATGCAATGGACGTTCAAAAGCTTTTAAAAACCGTAAAAGCAATAATAATGCGTTAAAAAAGATGAAAAACTATGATGAAGCGAGAATTGTCAAAACATTGCTGCATTTTGAATTTATTTATAACTTTTTTGGCCTACCTGATTTTTATTTATTGAAAAAATAAAAATTTTTGTTTAAGAACAATTTTTGGTTTAAGTAAATTTATTTTAATTATAAAACATTTTTAGATCAAACCAAAAATAGTAGGATCTTAATTATAATTGATAAAGCTGAATTTGTGTAGCGTGATTTTATACACAATCATTTCTTAATTAGAAAAAATGGGTCAAAATAGTTAGAAAACAAGAATTTAAATTAAAATCTTAAAGAATCTCGATCTCGAAATCTTGTCAAATTTTATGGTCATATTTTGTGATCTAATCTCGTTTCAAGAGAGTATTGCCTTAACGAACCTATTTTTTCAATAATATCTGTTTGATTAGGTTATTATTCAAAAATAAATTCTAATATACCATATTTCCTCTATTAGAATGCCATGACATTCTATTTTTGAATCAGCTTCCAAGGTAGCATTTAATAGAGGAAATACGGTATAAATTTTGAAATATTTTTGATTATTTAATTCAAAAGTTTATCAGCAAATATACTTTTCGAAACATTAATTTTTATTTAATTAATTATAAGTTTTTATTTTTATAAATTAAGTAACTTGTTTATACTTTTTTAAGAACAATCTACTATTAACTATTGTTATTTTCAAATATTACAAATGATTGATGATTATACTAATAATTTTTTAGTAAATCTATTTATTATTAACATTCAAAAAAAGCTTCTTCCGTTCCCATTTTTTCTTTAATTTAATCCAGACAGGTGGCATTTCCTTTTAATTATATTAATAATTATTAAATAAATTATTTTAATATTTTTACCTAATTTTTAATATTTTTTATTTATTTTTTAAAAACAGTTGTCTAAATAATATACCAATTTTCTTACCAATTTAACAATATTTTTCCTTCGTTTGATCTATTTTTTTATTTAATTTGTTCCAACATTTTGTTTCTTTTCTCAATTGTTTTCTTCTTCAAGTATTTTTATCTTTTTCTTCCTTTTTTTAACTTTTAAAATTTAAAAAATAATTATTTTTTGTTTAAATATTTATTTTTAAAAACTAAATTTAAATAAAGTTTATTTTTACATTTCCTCTGAAAAAGTTTAGAACGGTGTAAAGAGACGGGGATCCTTTGTTGTGTTAATCCCTTTAACTTGGCAGACTTTTCCTTTCCCCTTTTAACTGCAAAATAAGAAAATGTGACGAAAGTGTCAATAATATTTAATAAATATTTTTTAAAAATTGTAAATTGATCCTTTCATTTAAAATTTGTCAAAAATAAATAAATATTTAATTGATTTTTAATTTATTTATTTAATTTTAATTTAATAATTTGGCATTTAAATTTATTATTTAATTATATTTAAGGTTAAATTTAATATTTTGTTTATAAAATTTATTTCCGGAGGTTACGTATCCAAAAAATGGGAGCTATAACTTCGTTAATAACATTCGAATCCGAGACGCCTTGATATGGTTCGATCCATCTCGACGGGCTGAATCGAACCATATCAGAACGTCCCAGATTCGACAATTTTGAACGAAGTTATAGCTCTGCGGTACGCTGGCCTCGCGGTACGTTGGGCTGTACCCCCAAAAAATATTTATTTAATTTTCTATAGCTATGTTTCTGAAATAAAAATTACCGTATTTCCTAAAATAGTACTCCCGGGAGTACTATTTTTCAACCCTCCTCCAAAGGGGAGTACTATTTAAGGGGGGAGTACTAATTCAGGGGGGAGTACTATTTTTCAACCCTCTTCCATGATTTATTATAGGAAAATTTATTTGAAAATTCTAAATGTCAGAGTTTTATTTAAAAATGCCGGATCCGGTGGATTTGGAGTGATGAGTGAATTTGTGTGATATCGAGGGATATAAGGGGATTTATGCAAT